ACACATGAAATATTGCACTGATGCCCTTTGGCAACTTTCAAATAAAATTACTGGAAAGGAACCTGGATGTTGCCTCTTTATGTTGTCGCTGAGGACTTTGCAGTTCCAGCAACAGAAGCTTTAGTCAAGAACTTCGTTTTCCTCATGAAATATTATGACAAAAATGTGTTTTATCTCCTCCTTTTTGTTCTGAGCTCATTTGCCTGACTCTCATCATTAGGTTTCCTTTCAGACTTTTAACAAAGACGCTCATGCGAGAAATGGAAAATGTGACGAGCCTTAGTGGAAACTTCTGTTGCTCTCTGTGTTTTTACTTTAAGGAGGCTGGAGGGGAGAGGGGGGATTCTCTTGTTACTGTGTTAGTGTGAGGAGTCAGTAATGAGTGAGCAACATCACATATAGCCCAGCATGGGGAGCAGATGATAAAAGATGGAACCGGAGTACAAGGCAGAGATTGATGATGCGGCTCATCATCTAATTTTCCTGCAGAGGGACAGATATGGTAAGACCAGCAGATCTTCCTCTGCATCTCTGAGAAACAGCAGTGCAACATGGAATGATGCAATTATTTCAAAGCATTAAAGGGGCTGTGTTAAATGGCTTCTTGTGGCTAAAGACCTTAGATTTACCAAATAAAATCCCTCTAACATTTATGTCTGTTCTGCTGACGGATTTTGTTGCCTTGCAGCTTTAAAAACGAGGATTTAAAGTTTTATGGGATTTTTTTCTGCCTGATCTGAAGAATATTAGATCAGTCTGTCAGTACTTTTGTAAAGTTTTCTTACCGTTTTAACGTTTTAACACATGAATGTGTTCAGTGTGGTTCTCCTGCTGGAAGGTGAAACTCCAAGGCTCTAACACCGAGGTGTCCAAACTGTGGCTCAGGGTGTTTTTTTATGAGCATGTAGCATTTTTAAATGTTTGCAGATGGATCAACAGTATTATGACTTCCATTGGAAGTGGTTTTCTTCTTGCCACTCTGTGATGAAAGGTCAGATTTATGGAGTCACAAATGTCTGGTTGACGGATTCCTGAACCTGAGCTGTGACTCTCTGCAGCTCCTCCAGAGTTCTCTGGTTAACGCTGACCTCTTTGTTGATCTGTTACATAAAATGCATCAAAGTTTGTGGTTGTAGCATAAGAAGATGTGACTGAATTCAAGTGGTGTAAATGTGTTTGCATTTGTAGCAGCATTTACAGCAGACAGGCTGGCCTTCAGGAGCCATGCACAGCGTCTTCTATAGAAACCAGGCTGACAGTGTAAACTGGCTGCTTCATTTTATTTCACGTTCTTGGCGAGTAAAATCCTTTTTCAATGAGCAGAGAATGGCTGAAAGCACCTTGCTTTGTTAGAAACTGACACACAGGATGAACCTCTTTCTTCTGTTCGCATTTTAAAAACATTCCCTCTTCTCTCTCCCATCAACGAAGCATTAACTGTAAAAGAAAGTGTGATCCCTTTGTCTTGATTTTTTTTTTTACTCGTGAAAACAACATACAGTATTACATCGCTGTGTCATTTTTCTTTCCCATCCGTAATTATCTCATATCTGAGGAGCCTTCTGGTCTCTCTCTCTTGTTAGCAAATCCTCGCAGGCACAGCAAACAGCAGGAGAGCTGGGCTCTGAATCTGTATTTCATTAACACATCCAATGAGATATTAATCACCAGACATGACACGACCCTAAGCACGTTGTCGAGGTTCAGTCAAGAGGAAAATGATGCGCTTGTGCTGTGAAAGGGCAAGTTTAAGCGAAACAGTGTCAGAACCACAAAGTCTAAATTATTATTTTTGAAGTGTATTAGTGATGATTTGAGCAGCTGACAGTCGTATCTACACAGACTGTTAAATGTTTAAAATGCTCTTTTATTTCAGACTTATGGGAGTGAAAAGGGGAAAAAAAACATATAGCTTTAGATTTAAAATAATGAATGAATGATTTGCTTCTCGCACTTTGTTTCTCCTCCCAGCAACGGGCCGAACCGCCTCCTAACGCCGTGATGGTGCAAATAAATGGCTTCAGGCAGGAGTGGACTGGCCGCAAGGCCCAGAGCTCAAATATTATAACCAAAAAAGTATTTTAAAAATCATTTTAAATAAGTTTTGAAATGATTTAAAATAACTTAAAATAATTGGTTGATATTCTTGGATAATTTTGGACTAATCCAGTCAGATCTGTCAGTCCTCGTTGACTGGAGTTGAAGAGGAGCAGAAATGTGCAGAAGAGAAGAGGAAAAAGGCTAAAAGCCGACGAGTGAACTCAGCAAAATATGCCAAACTTACTGATAGGTTTATCATAAAACTGTTAGAATTAATACAATTTAAAAATAGCTGAAAAAAATAATTTTCACTAAATAATATCTGGGTAAATTTTAGGTAGAAGGGTAGAAATGCTTATTATAGGAAATTAAGACTTATTTTATTCCGACTTAAAACATGCATAACAATATTAGCCTACAAAGTTTTGTGTAATTTGTGTGCAGAACTTCAGTTTTGTTCTCCATCTCTGTGTGTCAGAGACGGAGGGATAATTGTGTTTGTTCTGAAATAACGCTATGAACAGACTCAGTTTTATTTTATCGTGCCATAAAGTTACACTTTGCATGTGTTACAGTTTATTATTGTGAAACATTAATACTGAAATAGATGATTTATCTGTGGTAGCCAGAGAAATAAAACATGTGAAATTCTTTCTGTTTGTCATACTTTGATGAGGATCTGTTTAATTTTACATGGACATGTGGTCTTAATATGAGCATAATTATTTGTATGAACTGTATTTTTCATAAAACACTGAGAAGACACCTGTAAGAGTTTGACATCTGGTTTTACTAATATGTAAAATGTAACACAAGATGAAAATGTCCTGGTGGAGAAAGAGCGTTTTAAAATGGCTGCTCTGTCATGAAGGCTGCTGCTCTTATTTTACCCAGCCATGTCTTCCAGCATATTAGAGTAGCTGCATTCTTACTCTGTAACATACAGTCATTACCAAAGGAAGCAGAGCTCCGGTTGGGAGGTGGAAGATCCAGAAGCGTTTGCCAATTAGCTTCAACTGGAAGATTAATGACAGTCTGCTCCACCGCATTATGCAACCTTTTAGGTTCTTTTGGAGGTAATCTTTGTTTCATCTGAAGAACATGAGATAATTCAGAAACAAAAGTCTGTGAACTTCCAAATCATAGAACGATTCATTTTTCATAACTGTCTTAGCCTGGAAGAACAAAAATAGATTTTTTTTTCTGTAGTGAGTAGAGGTATGCTGTGAAAGTAAAACAGAATCCCTCTCCATCTGTTACGCACAAAAGGAGCATGGATGAGCTTCCGCTGCAGCAATTGGCAAGAAGAATATTTTACCTGGAAAGGGGAAAAAATGGATTAAGTTAAATGCCAGGAAAATTTGGAAGCAGACATCACATCTGTACATAAAATGATGAGAAGAAAATGCCTTCAGCTACTGAATAATGTGCCCAGCACAGCTGTGAATGCACAAAAGACTTCCTGACAAAGCGACTAAACTGAAGATTTAAACACGGTCTTCAGTCTGGAACTGGTGCTGGAGTCGCTCCTTTACTGGTTCTGGTTTGGAAATCATTCAAAACACATCTCTTATTTTAAACGTTGTACATACAAGCAGAGCAGACGTAGACGAGCCCTTCACAAAATATAAATATAGATGTTCATTTATCGACATTTAGGTTCATTTATGGGTTTTGAATATTCGTTTGAAGCCCAATATTTATTTATCTTGATTGAAGAAGACAACTCTGTGTGCCTTTGTATGAACTGAACATGATTCTCTTGGGAGGGAGTTGGGTGGCAATGGGCCTGAAAGAGAGCCGGCTGACAGATCCGCAACTTTGTAGCTGTTTTTAGAAACGCTTCAGAAAATAAACGTTATAAGCTAAAATCAATATCAGTAGGCCGGGCTTTGTAAAGATTGGCGATCGGCCAGAAAACTGCAATCAGTGCACTTCTAATTTCCTCATGACTAAGTATTGTACTGTCACACATAACTGAGTTCACTGCTTCGGATGCAGTGGTGTGAAACACGCTGCCTCTGGACTCCAAAGCAGTGCAGACGTGTTCTCCAGAGGGCCGGATCGCCGTCTGGCAGCTGATAGAGGAGGCTGGGTTGAACATTAGGACACAGAAGGAAGCAGGTTGTTACCTTTTGTCTCCTGGGATCAAACTGCCAAACGTCTTTTCATCCGTCTCTGACAGTCACCGCTCAAAGTTAGCAGTAGCTTTAAATGGGGAAACATATTAATATTATGATTGACACATTTTACTGAACTTCAGGGATGCTTAACTCTTTATTCAACCATAAAAGTAAAAAGTTCATTGCTAATTTTAATGGTCATTAAGGCGAATTTCACTCAATCAGTCACTTTACTTGAACACAAAGTAACACTGCTGAGAAAATAACGGCACCAGAAGAAGAGATATCAGGAAGTTTCCTTCATTTTTTCCCACAAAATCAAATACTTGTGGAATGAAATACAGCAGAATCTTCACCAGGTCTATTTGGACATTTCAGACCAGAACCAATCTCCTTCCTGATTGGCGAGACGGTTGGACATTCATCGTGTCCGTAGTTATTAATCATAACAGAAATGTGAAGAGCTTCTCAAGATTCGGTCCATTTGCTGTTGCTGCGCTTTTTCAAATAAACCCTCATGTTTGACTCAGCATTATTAGTCATTTTATGAGGAAAAACAACAATCCGTAAGCAGTCATACTCGGTCCTCTAAAAGCACTCTGCACAGCGTGGATAATGGCCTGGTTGTTTACATCTATATGAAAACCATGTTGATTTGAAAAGAGGGAAATATGTGACTGCACAGCTGCAAGCACTCGAGCTAACGCTGCCTTCTTGAATCTTAACCCCACATAAAGACGGGGAGGAAAGCTGGAGTTCAGACGACTGCCCTCGCTGAGCCGACCACTTCACGCCGAGGCGGCTAACCTCAGGCTGATGTTTTCTCTTTATCTGCAGGTGAGCGAGAACGCTAAGCAGGACCTGAAGGATGGGCTGGCTCTTTACAACTCAGAAAACAACATAGGCCTTCGAAATGCATGGAACATCATCCAGGCGGAGGTCGGTAGGCCTCACACCACACATTACACTGGTGTTACATTAGCGTCAATGTTTAATCACCTAAATGCAAAGTTATTCTGACATATTCCAGCTAATGCATTTCCAGGCGTGTAGCTGTACCATTATTGTGACGTTAAAAACATCCAACCTGGCTGGTGGAGAAGAGTCCTTCCATTATTTAAGACCAACAAACTAATTAAAACACAGAGTTGTGTGCAGACTCTGACAGGTGTGCTTGTGTTGTGACGCCAGTGGAAGTGCTGCGGTGTCATAGCGTACTCGGACTGGCACGATGCCCTGAAGGAGAAGGTGGTTCCTGACCGCTGCTGCCAGGAGCATTACCAAAACTGTGGCCGCAACTCCACCAACATGTTCTGGAGCCGGGTGAGTTACAGCTTCCACTCACACAGAACAATTACAGTGCGGTCAAAAACGTCTCAAAAGACTCAATTATAACAAAGATTAATTACATACAGAGTTTGGTTTTTATGGTTTCAGATAATAAAACCCAACATTATCTGATCTGTGGGAGCAGGACATGCGCTCAGTATCGGTCTGGGCTCCTTTTGCTTGAATTCCTGCCTCACTGTGGTTCTGCTGCGGTTCAGGAAGCCCAGCTTGCTTTAAGGCCGACCTTCAGCTCATCTTTATCAGTGGTTCTGATGTCCCACGTTCACTTTGACAGCTGGCGTTAGCTCAGGCAAGTTTGCTGGTGTTGCCATGGTGATTAAAGCAGCTTTTGGTACTTTTCGGCAGTCTGGACCGGTACCAAGTTCAGTCAAGCCATTGCCAGTAGGAAGAATCAGCTGCAGTAGCCAGTCTTTCTCCCAAAGAGGGCAGCACTGAGGCAGTTTTAGGCAAATTATTGCAGAACTAAACAAATTTACACAAAAATGTAATAATTTATACAGAAACATAAAGGTAGCACAGTTTACCGGCACAAACGTTGATTTGAGGTTTAGTAACTCGTAACGTTCTTAAGACTGCTAATTTCTGTTGCTTGTTCTCTCACTTTTTTCTTCCACTAAATTTACCATCAACCCTTTTTGCCTCATCATTATTGTGAAGCGAGTCGGTGAGCAGTCTTCCCCAGGATTGTGTTGCCTATAACAAAACATTTCTTCATTAAAAATCCTTTTTGTTGTTCTTCTATAATATTCAAATACATCACTTAGTCTAATCATTCTGCACAATTCATGACTTTTGCATTGTCAGTTGAATTACTAAAATAAATGTTTGAATTTATGAGACGTGCCTGAAAGAGAACATTTCTTGTTGTATTGTCCAAACCAGAACAGAGATGCAAACTCCAAACACAACCAGATAGAAAGGGAGGGAAAAAAAGCAAAATAATATTGAGATTAATACGAAACAACCACAAACTGACAGCAGAAAGGTTCGACATGAAAAAAACAACATCTAAAAATGATATCAGACATTAACATCAGCCAAAACAAATCTGGAAAACATCTGAGGTGTTTTTGCTGATGCACAATAAGCTCACTAAGCTCTTTATCTCATGTTAAGTCATGTCATGCAAACTGATGCACATGCAACATAAAATCCACCATCTATTGCACACTTGCTCCACTGATTACATAGTAGCTGATTTCCATTTAAACCTGTTTAAACATTTCACTTGTACTGCAGAATTTGGATCATTACGGAGCTTTTTTGTTGTTGCAGCACAACGTCCTCAACCCATTACAAGTCTAATTTCCTATTTAGTCTGGCGTGTGGTTTGTTAGCAGGTCCAGAGTAAAGGATTAAAAGCTGTAATGTAATTGCCAAAATGAGAATAGGCAGACAATGAGGTGGTCCAGTGGGAAAGCTCATCCCTGAAAGCTTGTGTGTAATCCTGTCCAGAGGAGCAGCTGCCTGATATTTCACAATCCCCCTCAGCAAGAAGCACCTCTTTAAGACCCAAACCGAAGTGAAGTCCCTCACCTCTGAATAAGGCAACAGCAGAGAAAGAGTCGAGTGCCTTCAGTCTGCTCACATTCATCCACAAGTCCTGCATATAGAAACCTGACCTTATGGGGAAATTCACGTGTTTTGACACCTCATCTGATATTTATCCATGAGGATGAAATGCCCTTTTTATTTAACTGGTTGGTTGACTTTTTCCAGGTGACTGAGCAGCTGAGGCCCAAAACTGCAACATTTCTGACACGACTCGCCTCCCACGCTGGAAAATGCTCATTTTCCCTGTTTTTATTTTTTTCTTTGGCATTGCAGGGCTGTTTTGAGAAGGTGGAAGAATGGCTGGGTGAAAACAAGCATCTGCTGGGAACCATAGGCATGGTCATCTTGGTAGTGCAGGTGGGTGTAACAAAATATATATATTTCTTTCTCCCTCCCCTGTTGCTCTTTTATACTTTTGCATGTGTCTGACAACATGTTAAAAAAAAGAGAATAGAAAGTGTGCATCCAGTGGCCCCCTGTGCCATCTTGTTCGATTGAGAAAGCTGTGAAGCTTTGGCTCGGTGGGCGTTCTGGGCTCCCACACATCTAGAAATATTGCGGCTCTGTTCTCTATTCCTGTCTGGAAGATTCAAAGCTGCGTGGCTTTGAGCCAAGGAGGCTGCAGTCAGGTAAGGAAGAGCTGTTAGACGTTCGGAGAGCCAAGATAATGAATATAGAGAAGCAGGGAGAGTTGCAGATTAAAGCGTCACTTTTCTTCTGCTTTATATCCATCCCACTTTCACTCCCTAAAACAGGAACTTTAGTTTGTTTTGGAGCGTGATGTTCCAAAACATTATTAATCTGGGAACTGAGTTTGTGGAGATTAAAGGTGTTTTCACACCTTATAGCCGGTAGAATCGGTTTGATTGGAAACCATAATTGCAACATTTTTGTCTTTGGTGAAAGACCACGAGCCATTTCTTCTGCTAGCGCTAGCCTAGCATGTGTGTTTTGGTTGTATTTACCAGAATGCCTTGCGCTTTAGTCCACTTCCTGTTTCTGGAGCAGTCACCGTTCTGCTGCCGTTTAGATATGCATCCGAACGGCAGAGTTCAGGTCAGCCGAACCGAGACTGGGGTTCTTAGGACCAGAATTCATTTTTTGGTCCGTATCAAAGTCCAATTATGCATTCACACCTCCCCAGATGAACTGGACTTTCTAGGCAAACAGATTGGAGTTGAATTAAAGCGGATTAAACTGGGCTGGTCTGAACGCGCCCTGAATGTATCTAAATGAGAGACGCATCCAGTTATGTGTCTTTATGATAGTTTGGTGTGAAATAAAACCAAAAGTCTATCAGGAGATGGAAAAAGTCCACAACAGCTGCTCCTTTTTTCTTTTTTTTCTGCATAGAGAAAAATGTTATTAATTTAAAAGGGAAATGATGAGGATATTTGTTCCAGCCTGAGTTTTGTGTGTAATTTCTGCCACTTTGGCCCAGTTCTGGTTTATTCCCCTTTTCACAATCAGAGATCCCAGTTTGCACCTTGATTTAGTCCTTCCTCATCCTGTAGTCATCCCCGCCGGCAGCTGGAGTTATTTTATGTGACCATTTCTCTGCACTTTTCTGTCTTTTTACTGAGCACTTTTAATATGCTGATGCTTAAATAGCTCTAACCAAACTGAATGCAGGCACCTTGACTGAATAATTTACAAACTGTATTTCAAGAGAAATGTGTTGATGCTGAGGTAATAAGAGTGATAGCAGCAGTTTAAGCTGCTTCCAGTCTGTCACAGAGCACTTCAAGTAAAGATGAATCACCTGTTAAGGTGGCTAATAACCTGCAGCCTGCAGAATCAGGTGATTCCTCTGCTCCTGCTCTAATGTGCTCACAGATCTCCACAACCATTTTTCCAGTTCCTGTGATGAGAAGCTCAAACGTCTTTTACTCTGTTGATTCGTCTCAACATTAAAAATCTGCTGAATTGCCGACGCAAACTTTAGTTTTGATGCTCCACCTTATTAAGCATCATCTTCTGCTTCACATCTTCATATAATATCAACACATCATTTAGTTATTGACATGGAAAATTCAGCTTCTGCTTCACTTACTGAGACGAAGAGACATCATCCCATCAGCCTCTCCTGCTCCCCGTTAGGTTTTGTATTGATTCTAAAATCCTGCAGTTTAAATCTTTAAATGCCCCAAACAACATATCAGACTGACTGACCCCCCGTCCCCTGAGATCTACTGATAAACCAGGAAGCTAGCGCACAGATTGCTCTCTTAAATCGAAGGATAACAGGTTTTTTCTCCCTTTATTTGTTTGTTTTAAATAAGAAAAGTTGTTAACGACGTCAAGCTGGGTCGCATCCAAAAATGTGCTGGTGACTCAGTAATTGAGTCTCCTCAAAGCAAAGACGAACCTAATCAGGATTTAGTCGTGCGAGACTCCATCGACTCGTGCAAATCAACTCTTCCAATGATCGATGTGGCCGACATACAAGAGTCAGCAAGATGTTTGAGGAAACCTTTCCACTCCTGGCTGCAGGCGGAGGTGAGAGCAGAGCGTCTAACGTCCTGCAGGCATCAGGGAGAAACGGGAGCTTTGATTCTGATGGGACTGAATTCATTTCACATCTAATTACTGCAGCATCAAACTTGGCTTTTAATGTTCAACAGTGTTTTTTATCATTACACTATTTATGTAAATACATTCTTTTAGTTAGTTAGTTACTTATTCAATTTATATTAATGAATGGAATGCATTTATTTATTTAGATAAATTTGTTTTTTAATAAATAATTGTATTTATTTTAAGTTAGTTACAGATTTCACATATCTTATATGAATGTATGTATTTCATTTTAAACAGAGTTGAATTTATTTTATTTTTGAGTTGGTTATTTATTCAGTTTTGTATAAATAAACTATATTTATTTATTTATTTAGATAAATGAAGTTGAGTTTATTTATTTCCATAAACTGATTTTTTTTATTTAAATCAGCCCGAATTGAATTTACTTGTTTAACTTATTTGTTTAATTTATTTACAGCAACATATAGATTAAGATTTTTTACCCTTTAATAATAAACACCTTCATTTAAAAGCTGCATTTTGTATTTACTTGTATTCTCTTGGACTAATATTTAAGTTGGTTGGATGTTCTGAAACTCTTAAGTGTGACAAAAAAAGAAATCTGAAAGTTTTTCACTCCTTCTGAAATGCTGTAGGTTGTAGAATGAAGGGATCAATTGAATTATATTGAAATGGCTATTCAAGAAATGGCTTTAGCCAAATGACCCTCCATCATGTATTTCTGCTTTACTGACGGCCACATGGCCAATAAAACGATAAGTAAATGAGTTCAGTACTTAATATAAGTTGGTTAATGGGCCTGTTTATGGACCAATAAAACCAAAAAGTTATTGACTGCCTTAACATTGTTTCATCTCCACATTTCCCTGCAGTTTGACCACCATTAGTAAAGTTTTGATTTAATTTTGCTTATGATTAATTTATATTTTCTCTGAGTTCAGGGACATAACAAATATTTGCCCCTCTCAGATTTCTTCTGTTTTATTCTTGTTGCATTTAAATCTTTCAGATCAACAATTGACAAATAACTAGACAAGCAGGAATATAAAACAAATTCATAATCAGAACTTTGGTGTCCAGTTTAAACAGCTCATTCTGCTCCATTTGCCTCTAAATGTCCAGAACTCTGACAGAACCGTAACGTTTCACATGTCGTCGTTCTGTTTTGACCGTCTTGAACTAAACTCTTCATACTGGCTGGACTTTGTAGATTCACACCTCTGTCCATGTGATCTCTGCTCTGGGGAAGCTTCTGTGCAGCACTTTTTTCTGCTAAATCCATTTAATCTCTGCCACCTACCCCAACATTTCTGACAGTAACTCAGCTTTCTGTTCATTATTACAGCCTTCAAGGCTCACGCTGCGGCACAGCCTCAATGGAGCCGGCTCTTCTTACTACGATTATTACTATTTGCACATCTGTCTCTCCTGGTACTGCTGCATCCTTCCTCTGTTTTGTTGCTTGTTTTCAGTGGATCTTGTTTTATCTCCTCTTCTCTCCTTAATACGTCTGTTACTGTGCTCAAGGCAAGTCTCCTAATCCTTGAATCCATGGTTCATTTAGAGCAAGGTGACCTCCCCATTAAAGCTTTTTGTTGACTTCTGGAAGATTATGCACATAGTTAATGTCCTTAGGGGACGTTTGTGCTTGAACTTTTAGGTTGAGGTTAAGGTATTCTATACCTTGTGGACTAATTTGTAGCACAGCCTGCCATACACAATCACAACCAGCTGGCATGAAAACTCCACAATTATTCATTTAAAAAGAGATCATGTTAAAAGTTGCTGCAAGCAGAAGTGAAGAGGTAAAGTCAGGATTGCTTAAACGCTCTTTGTTCTGGGAGAACTCACCCATCAAATCCAAACTCAGACTCACATAAGCAGTGATCTGAACCGCTAGCTAAAAAGTTAGTTACGCTAATGCTAATGCTAAAGCGCTATGACCTTTAGCAGAAGCTAAGCCACTAAATTCAACCACATGTGACTGACTCAGTGTGTCAGAGTATGTCGCCCTCCACAGGATCAGATGTGTTACTGCAGCCTGTACAGTTAGCACTTCGCTAAGGCTCATTATTACTCTCCTCTCTAGGCCAACAACTGGGTTGTAATTATTGGGTTGTAGTGTTTTATCAAAACTATGAAACTTCCACTTCAGCTCAGCACTGTTTAGACTTTATTCTTCTCACTTTACCTCTTCAGTGTCAAGGACAAAACAAATAGCGCCTGCTTGTCCTGAAATTTCATTTGCATTCAAATTTCCTCATGAACATGCATTGGAAGCGACCTGCTGCATCTGCCTGGTATAAATTGTAATTGTCCTGGTTGTTCACAGAAATGTTCTGCTTATGACATGTTTGTAAATCGGAGCTGTTGCTAAGAGGAGCTCTTTGGAGGGCTGTAAGCCTCTTTAACTAATTTGATTGATGCCACCCATTAGAAAAGGCACTTACCATGTGATCCCATACAATCTGTGCTGTATTTTAGCAATTAGTACGTGTTGTTGTCAACATTAACCTTCAGGCGGTGCATCCAGTGCTCATATGCTTGAACAGTTTTGACATTTGCTTATAATACAAATATTTGCTGAATTTGCCTTCAAAAATGTTTTAGTCACAGAGAAGCAGATGCAAAGCTAAAATTCTGAGTCACCGCGATTACGTCCATCAGACCTTTCAGGAACTCAAGATTTCAAAGAAAATTACTATCATTTTGATGACTTCTTTGCCTCTGAAGGTATTAGGCGAAGTGGAAAACAAAGCGCCGGGGTTGAGAGGTTTGTCGGTAGCTTTTTAAATGAACGCAGTTCTCATCCAGGAACAAAGAACCTTCTCCTTCAGCACCATCTCGGTCAATCCTGTATAAATTAAGACAAGTGCTTAGCATCTGCTTTTAATATAAATTGAACTGAAAAGACTATACGCTGGCAAGGCTGAATGAGTCCAGGGAATTCACAACTGGCCTTGTTTTTATGCTCCTAACACGTCTTTCACCTCATTTCTCTGAAATGAAGCTAATAACCACTTCAAGACAAAAAACATGCAATATATCTGACCTCACTGCAATTATTCTGACATGTTTACAGTTATTTCATATATTCAGCCCGTCAGTGCTAACAAATGAAGAACGTTTTCCTGAAGGTTGAAGCCTAGTTTTAACCCACCCACTCCTCTGATTCAGTGTCGGTAGGAAGAGTCAGGAAGCAGATGTCGAGTACAGATTGGCTCATCCAAACCAAAGTGGACAACATGACAAGGAAATGTAAAACTGGCCGGAGGCACTTGGATGTAGTTTTGAAATATTTATAGAAGATGCAGACTCAGTCTGAAAGAAACTTGGGTGTTTGTCTTCCTCCAAAATGACAAAAAGATTTTACTTTCCAACTTTGCTAAAAGGTGTTTGATTCATTTCTGTAGAAGCTAACAGGAGCAGCGCTTCAGGTTCCTTCATTTCTAATCAACATGTAAATAAATAACTGCAGCTCTTTATGTAGTCTTGGAACTTTTTAATCAAGTCTGTAATTAATTAATTGCATTTAATCAAAAAAATGTATATACACAAAATGAATTTTCAAGCCTAAAACTCTTTTTACTGCTAAGTTATTGAATAAATAGACATATGAGTTCAACAAAAAAATATGTTTATTGTTTTCAATCTGGTATTCAGATTCTTCAACCATTAAATTGGGGCAAAGTGTTATTCAGCTTTCGATGTTTCAGGAACCTGATCATTCATTCAGTGTCTTTAGAAATGTAGATGATGGACACTGACATTAGCGTTAGCTGCTACATGTTTAGCATTGAGATGCTAGTTTGGGCTTGAATAGCTTCTGATAGGCTAACTCCTTTGGCACAACTTGAACACAACATTAGTCTTTTCCAGTGTCCATCACATCTCGTTTTGAAGCAGAAATGAACCCAGTGAGGTTAGAGAAGCAGCTTTGTGGCCAGTCGCTGCCGTCTGTTGATGTCGCTTGTGCAGGCGCACCATAGATGCTCCAGGACAAAGGCTCCAGCTTGGGGCTTCTGCATGTAAAAAAACAACAAAAAACGATCAATTGCGTTAAAATTTTATATGCATAAAAATCTATTTAATTAATTAGCAAAGTTGGTGTCAAAGTACAAAACGGTAATCAGGCTCAAATTTCACAGACCAGTCGGCAGGCCTTCACTGATTATACATTTCCTTCTGAGGATTTAACATTACACCCTATTCCCATTTTTTTTGCCATTCTGATGAGCATTCTTCTGGTTGAATCCGATTCAAGTAGAGAAACCTAACAGCCATCGTTACACCTGGGACTTTAACCTATTTCTCACTGAGTAACACGTTGAGCCCTGACAGGTCCAATCTATCACAGAGACACACAGGACAAACAACCATGCATGAACGGCTGCAGCTAGCTGGGGGGTAGGGGATGGATGGATGGATGGATGGATGGATGGATGGATGGATGGATGGATGGATGGATGGATGGATGGATGGATGGATGACAGGGAGACGTCATCATCTTTATTCAGGAAAAAGCCAATGAAACTGGTTTGATAAAAACAGTGAAACACGTTGAGGAGCTGAAGTATTTGGTAAAATATCAATGTTTAAATGATGTTTCTAGCTAACAGTGAGGGGCTGTAATTAGCCCTCAATGAGCTCAGAGCGGCTCAGTGGTTTGAAAGGTTTCCCATTTCCTGTTGGGGGAAAAAAAATTGAAACAGGTAAATATTTCAAGAATCATAATTTTTATGAGATTTTTTATGAGGTTTTATGAGAGATTTCCCAAAAGAGTTGATTGTTTTGATGTCTAAATGGTTAAAGTAGCTCAGTGACTCTGAAAGGAGGAGAGAGCGGAGAAAACGTCTCCATGGCTGACGGATCATAAGAGCGTAAATGTTTGTTGTTTGGAAAGCTTCTATGTTCTATAAAATCCTGTCTTTACTCCACATGTGTGTCAACAGGAAGGTTTTTTCTTTTGCATGTTTTCTGTCTTTATGCCTAAACTCTAGTGAGGAGAGTCACATCAGCTGCCCGCCTCAGTGTGGATGATAAGAGGAGTGGGCAGGATCTAAGATTATGACTCACATTCAATCTAAAACAGTCGCCCACTGACAGATATCATTTAGTGAGAAGACATCACCACATTCACTTTATAGAAAATGACTTCAAACCATCAGTTTGAAGTCATTTTGCAAAAATACAAAACAGAAAAAATAGCAGAATGACCTCTAGATATTTAGATTATTTGCTGCCTTACGTTTTATTTTTTATAGTTTTTAGCTGCAGTTTATGCTAACCAAAGAACATTCAGTTAAACTCAGACTAACGAGGAATTCCCCTATTAAAAACCAAATTTGTTTTTCAAAAAAATCTATCCATAAACTCTGTTTTCCTTGTCACCCAAACTTTTCAGGATAATGGCTTTAGGATCGGCCTTGTGGCTGCGTTTGATGTAAAGAATCAGGGCTAATGGAAACTTCAAAGAGATGGCTGCAGACTTTGATTCAGTGGCATCTGCATTTGATTCATTGACTTGATGCTTGTGCACGCTGTACGTTCTGTTCTCCATCACAAAATCCAGAGCTCACATCTGAGGGCTGAACTGAGTTCGTCCTTCACGGCGGGACGGGAGGGAAAATGGCACAAAACAGATCACACACAGAGGACACACAGATCACACACAGATCACACACAGATCACAAACAGAGGACACACAGATCACACACAGAGGACACAGATCACACACAGAGGACACACAGATCACACACAGATCACTTCAGGTTCAACCCAGGAAAAACAAATTCTGCTCAACAGAAGCTCACCTGTTTTATATTCATTAACCACAGAATGGAATATCAAAATCTAATACTTCAGTTCATTTAATTGATTCTGACTAAAAACAAAGTTGAGTTTCTCAGTAATTTGGAATATTACATCAGAAGAACTGAATGTTGACCTACTGAACATAATGACCCGGTTCGGTAGAGGATTCTGGTCTGGGCTCCTGTTGGATGAATTCCTGCATCAGTGTGACGAACACGTGCGGATCAGCCTGTGGTTCTTAGTAGTGACTGCTATAATGGCTTTTCCTACCACAGATTTTCCTTCCACTCAACTTTCCATGGATGTCCTTAGACACATTATTCTGTAAACAGCCAGCTTCTTTAGCAATGAGCTTTGATTTCTTATTTTCATTGGGAACCGTACCAGTGACTGTCTGGACGTCTTCCCCATGTAATATTTCTGTTTGGTTCCTATGATGTTTGCATTTAGTGATTGAAACAGATGAACCTTCAGTTATTTGTGATTTGGACCCAAAGTTGAACCAGACATTTGGAGGTCAACAGTTTGTTCCTGAAATCTTGGCTGGTTTCTCTTCAAGGTGTTCAAGGTGTGACCTTACAATGCATCTCAAGTGGATCTCCATTATCAGATGTCTAGAATTAAACATCTGGGGATTATGGAGATAATTAGTTAATTATTGATCCTCTAGTGTTCCCACCACTGTCTGAAATAATGTCAGACATTATGAAAAACATTTGTGTTTTTATCAGTGTAAGTGAACATCTGTTTTCATCTTTGAAACCTACAGGAAGTGACTTGTTTCCGTTTCCCTCTTGTTCTCTTGCAGCTGTTGGGCATGGCGTTCTCCATGACGCTCTTCCATCACATCCACAGAACAGGGAAGAAGTACGACGCCTAACCTGGGCAGAGGAGCCCCACTGCCTGCTGGGAAGAGACTCTGATTCCAACATCCATGCTTTCCGTCTCACTTCACCACTTGTGTAAAGCATCCTGTGCTCCTTCCTGGCCTGTACAGATTCCAGCTGCGTTCCTGCACCTTTCCTGCTCTCTCCTCCTCTCATTCATTTTGCCAAAGAGTAACACAACTGGAACTGAAGGGACACCTACTTTTGGCACGCAAGAGAATAACATTGGTTCTGAATGAAATATACTTTGTTTTTTCTCATCTTCTTGATCATTTTTCTTGGACTAACAATTTGCTGGAAGGAAAGTTGGATTTTGAGACAATGAAGACTGAACTGAAGCCCATACAGCATCTTCAAGGTGAAGAAAACCCATGAAATAGAAACTGAAACTTTTCTCCTTCCTGGAGGTTTTTTCATGTTGATCAACACAAAGCTCCACGTTTTCCCTTGTAAATGGATAAAGACCCAATACGGCATGCTAGTTTTTTACTTCTCTGACTTACATGTCTCTGAAACTTTAGTTTTAAATTTCTCAGATTTGTTTTTTATTCAAACGCTCAGCGCTCCTGCAGAATGTTGAATGGCGACCTGGTAGATGCGCTGCGTGTCAGCTCGGGTTTGACGTGAAGGGGCACAGACATGTCAGTGGTTTTTGTTGTAATCCATGATCCTTTTTTTTTTTTACTGCGCTGGAGAGATTAGGGAAAAGGGAAAGTGTTGGAAGAACATCATGTGAGCGTGAGGAATTATCAGTGGATTTATTTGCCATCAAATTCTGCAAAATCCGCTGGGTAATAAACTTTAATTCATAAATCTGTCCTTGAACACGCATTGCTGTGTTCAAATTCCCCTGTGAGGCAACATTCACAGTGTTAAGCTGTTTGTTAGCGCGCCACGAAGGGATCCGGGTGATAAAGTCTGTTGGTTTTTTTAGACGAAGTGTTTGTGTGTTTATCTCTGTGTCTGTTTGATCACTCAGAGGAGGTAAAACCTAGAATCAGAGAGGAAAGGCTAACGGCAGACATGTTTTCTCACTGCTGCAGCCATCAATTGTGCTGGCAGGAGGAGGTTAGCAGTTTTCTCCTCCAGCTCTCATCCATTCAGTCAACTCAACCCTGCCTCCATTTTTTTCTGTTTACACCCTGATTCTCTTCCCACATTTCAGGAAGCAGTGAGTTTGACATTCCTGCTCATTATTCAGTCACACCTCTGGTTTGCAACTTCACATATTTCATGTAAGCTTACTTTTCATGCAGCCTAAAGAGGAATTGGTGGGGGAAGGGGGCTGGGATCAAAGCCAAGGCAGATAGATATAGCAACACAAACCCTGTAGGACACGTCTGTTTACGCACTGACGCACCGCAGGAAGCCTGGGCATCAGTCTGCCTCCCGCAGACCAAAAATGCTCTTCATCTGCTGGTGGCTTGGAGAGAATGCCCCCCAGTTTATCTCAGGAGGTATAAAGAGGTGTGAAGAGCTACCTTTATTGGATGGGGATCGGTTTAGCTGCGGCTGTCAGGCTTAGGTTATTCAGTTTTTGTGACGTCTCCGGGGGAAATTGTTTTGACATCTACAACGATGAAAAAGAAACAGCAAATTAAGAGACAAGTTGCAGAAAGAAAAAACCTGAGAGATTTATGGCTTTATTTACAGTGAGGATGCTCGGTTTACAGAGAACGATGCTACGCTGCAGCGCGTCCACACAAAGTGAAACAGGTCAGCTTTAATCAGAGACGGTTGATTAGGTGCAAACTGGAGCAGATCTGACTGCAGATTAAGCACAAATGATGAGATATGAGCAGCAGGAAGTGAGAAAAGAGCATATGTCCTATTAACCCGGCGTCCCTTTAGGTTGTGTTTTCTTAAAGAATGTCATTAAAATATTATATGCAAAATATTTTTTCACACAGCAACTAATACTAATTAGTTTTATTTTTTTTTTATTTAAATTTTTATTCTAATGAATTTTTTAGCGATTAAAGTCTGTATTTGAATCAAATTACTTGATTCAAAAACCCAGAAGGGACACAGATTACTTTATTTCACTTAAAATTCATCACCTGGAGAGACAAAGACTCATGAAAATTAAAATTCAGCTGAAATACATCACCTGGCCAATATTTACACAGTAACTGGAAAAGTTCTGCAAAAATAAAATAAAACAGAAGAAATGTCCGTTGATTTTCCAGGCTCACTCCTTCTCTACTTTTCCAGCCTCTGTCTTTGTGGTTTTCTGCTGCTGCAGCCCTTTTTTATTATTATTTTGTGACACATCATTGTGTCTATGATTAGTTAGTGGCTCTGTTTGTTTAGAAAGCTACCCAGCGGTATTGTTCGCAGCGTACGCTAGCTAGGCAGAATGAGGTCGAGACAGCGCTGTCGCCTGATTGGTGCCGTTCTGTTTCTGTTTAATTCACTGAAATTACTCAGTTAAAGCCGCAGCATCCAGTGCATAAAGGCTCTGGACACCTGACGTGCATCCCACTGAATAAATCACATTTCTAACCTCCCTCACAAGCCTGATTTCCACCTGTCCAACAGGACCACTCTGGAAGCAGCTGCTGCTTTCACAGCCTGAACAAAGTATTAAAGTGACTGTAATTCAAATTTAGTTACAATTTTTGCATTTTGCATCACTTGAACTCTACAGAAAAGGATTAGGGCCATGGGAAAAAAATACTTATTTTAATCTCAGCATTATGACTTTATTCTCTCCATTATTTTCCTGAATTGTATTAATCTCTGAGAATTCTGAAATTAAAGTCACAATTCTGAGAAAAAAAATCAGAATTAATTTTTTTCAGTGGTCGTGTTTCTCTTCTGTAGAACTCTGTATATTTGTGCAACATGTGGTTCCCGGTTTGTTCTGCAGATTTAGAGCGCTCTGTGCAGCCTGAGATATTCTGCGTCTCTTCTTGTCGTGTCCATGGGGTTAACATGACAGCTGCTGTTGCACACTGCATGCACGACTGGTTGCTCCTCTCTTAGCCCCCACAGCTTGGCTGCCTCCACAAACTCCACACGACTGTTTTCTCCCTTATTTACCGCCTGGCTCTGCAGACGCCTGGCTCCACACTGAGACGCTGCAGAGAAGCAGCTCAGCTCTGTGGAAAGCAGCAGCAGAGGGAAACTGAGGAGGGTCACAGTTACAGGAGGAATCAGTGTTACTGTCTCAGCTACAGTGAGGCTGCACTGTACACCTCACAAAAAATCTAGGTGAATATTTCACTGTACTCACGTTAAATAGGAAACACAAGGAAGCAGGGTGTAGAGGATAAAAATTCTCCAAATGTGACGTTCAAAGCCTGCAGACTCTGTAACGCTTCGCCGCTGAGTCATCCGAATATACAGAGACTCTGAGTGTGAACTCTGCTTCAACCCTGCCACCGTCGCTTAGTTTGGGCTCATCTGTGCGTTTTTTAGAACGTAGGGCCAAATGACATTTTAACAAAAGCTGTCCAGTGATGTTATTTTTGTATGTTGTTTGTTGCTGTTTTAATGTTCGTTTTCTACTGTTTTTGTTGTTTCTGTTTGTGACAGACGCTCCACTGACTCTCATTGTACGCAGATGACACCTTTAATTCATTTTTTCCACAGGGGATTAGTCTTGGCAGCGCTTCTCTACAAGGTGCAAAAATGCCTTTTTTTGTCTTAATACTGGAACAAGCACATCGATTCAGAATGAATGGAGGGAAAATTTAGCAAACACACTGCATTACCAGCAGTATTCTCTGGTCTACCTTCATCTGAGAGATGTAGAGTTTATATAAATTCATATATGATGGCAGCCCACACTGTGCAGCCATGGAAATTCTTGGCCATTCTCCCGACTTTTTCTCGCCAGTCTGAACGGCTCACTTTGGTTTCACCACCCTAAAACATCAGTTTTGTTCCACATCCATGTGTGTAACATATCTGATTGTTTTCAAATCTTCGACACCTTGTGTCAAACTGAAGGTGCAGGGGCCAAAAGAGGGCCGCATGAATAGGACCTTCAAAATACGTTGTGTGCTTAAATATCGTTTTATGAGTCAAAGTAAAGCAGTTTTTATCTCAGTTTTTATTAACGCAACCAAATTACATCAATGTGAAAAGATGTTCACTATTATTTCATTTTACTTATCAATGCAGAGACAGCTGTTTATTCATATTTCAACAGTTTGTTAATGGGTTTTATCAATACATCGACTCAACTGGTCAAGTTGTTTCTTATCCAAACTGAAAATGATTTTGACATCGTTGGTCTGAATTTTCATGTTTTATCCGACTTTTACCTGAAACATCCGTCAGTTCTGCACCAGGAGATGCCGTAAACAATGGCTGAAAATTGTAATTATAAAATTATGAAAGAAGTGTGTGTGTGTGTGTGTGTCAGTGAAGTGTAACAAATCCCAATCCCATCAGTTCTGGTCTGACTCTACATCCAAACAGAACCGGGTCAGAAGCTGCAGTCGTGGGCTAAATTCTTCCTTTTCCTCATCTTATGATTTTGACTCAGTTACATTAAAGTGGGTCCATAAACGGAGCGCTGCTGTGTCACCTCTACGTTCTGCTGTGCGTGTGAGTCGCTTTGATGTTGAAAACCGTTCATACAGGAATCTGATCTAATCATCAGAATCAATGACCACGCAAAAAATTAACGTAATCGTAATTGAGCATTGAAATTTGCTGTGATTTTACAGTCTACTACTTTGTGGCTGTAATTTCCAGCTGTTTCCACTTTGCTACCACTAACAGTTGACGTGGAATATAAATTTTTTCACAGATGTTTCTAGACACAGTCTACCTTCCCAAATGCTGGATTTGATGCTCCTGTTGCAGCTGAATCCAACGACTCGGACAGCTGAGCGAATACTTTGGTCATATAGTTAATGACCTCACGGCTGGCAGGTTCCACTTCTAGTTTGAAATAAATGAGGATGTGCAGCTTAACTGCTCATGTCACTCTAATGTACCAGCCCCACGTGTATATACAGAAATATATTCTCATCTTACAACTGATGCAAGTGTTTGCTTCAACACAAATGAATATATTTACACTGACAGCTCAATTTTCTAACAAACTATGTGCTTTCATGCTTACTTAGACATATCTTCTTGTACTGTTCATGTCTGTTTTCCTTGTTTGCTGTTCTTCCTCCACTTGCAGTGTAAATTTTATGTAAATTTATGTTTTTATCAGTAAGCTTTTCATGTCTTGTTTGACTGGATTTTGATCTTGTAGTAAAAACTTTTTTTTTCATTTTATAAGAAGCATAAAATATTCTTTCTCATCCTTCAGTAAGTCACAGAGATGCTGAGGACTAAATGCATTGCAGCGATCCGGGTTTTGTGTAGCTCTGAGGGACTTGGAGCAGTTTCTTTTTATTTGAATCACTTAATTTTTTTACCTCCTTTCGGCGTATTATTTTGTGTAATCTGCTCTGAATCCGTCTCCTGAGCTGAAGCCGAATCTTTGAGCGGTGGAAATGATGCTCTACTGCAGAAACGGCGTGTTTGTTGTTGTGCTCTGCTCGGCAGCGGCGTCTGATGCCTGCCATCATCGTCCTGTGACTTCCTGCTACAAAGCTACTCTATCCGAGGTGGTGCACTTACCTGCTCTTTTCTCTCCAAATCAACTATTTTTTAAATAAAGGAAAGTGTGTCACTAAATCCCAAGATGGCGCACAGTCATTGCCTTTCATGTTTAATGACTCATTGCTTCTGATTTATTCTCATTTATATGTTGCTGTCAATTATATAGGCCACATGTAAACACTGATTCAGGTTTTATGGGGTGGGGAGGGTGAGAGGAATTTGCCAGTCCAGATCTCATGAAGTGTTTAATGAAAGAGAGGCATCCCTGCCTCAGAGCGGCTTCTTCCTGGTAATCCTGGAGCTCTCCTAAAGATGAGCTAACAGCAGTCGGCAGGTTGAGCTCTGAGGGTCTTTATAGAGAAGAAAAAGGAGGTGATGAAAGTCCAAACTACTGGCAATTTGTCTCGCACTTTAACAGGACGGAATGAGCGGCAGCATCTTTTCCACAGATCCCCCTTTTTAACCTAATGTCATCAGAAGTGTGTGTGGGTGGGTGTGTGTGTGTGTGTTAGCGAGAGTAAAAGAGAATGCATGTTTTGTGCCATTCCACCCTCAGTTTTGTTTTGTCGTTTTAGATCGCTGTTGTTTCTATGCAAAACTCTGACCTATTTTAGCCTTTGTACAGATTATTTTGTATGAGTAACATGTACTGAAATAAAGTGAAAGTAATCTAGAGTGGATTTTCCCCCACTTGTTGTTATTAGAGCTTTCTCTACGTTTCCCAGCCTCATACATTTCATTGACCTGAATTCAGGAGGATCTCAGTTGGAACCGAATCTCATGTTCCTGCGAAGCTCTGAGCTTGTTAAGCTGCAGCCGATGGGATTTTAAGGTTTGTTTCTGGGTTCTGTCTGCAAAACTGCGTTATGGTACGTATTATACTAAACTTTCTAAAACAAACTGCAAAAAAGGATCCTTTGTAAATTATAAATATAACAGAAAACAGTAAATTAGACCTAATTTACAGCTTCCAGATCAGGAAAAGTAGTGAAAGTACATTTGATCTTGTAATTCTAGAAAAACTCATCAAGCATTAGTAGCTGCACAACATTTCAGCTTTTTCCTGCATTTTCCCTGGATTTCAAAATCTCAAACTGCGTGCATTAATCATGGCTTTAAAGCAAACTTCAAATTTTAAACAAATTCACATTTGTTTAAAAAAATACCCAAAGATTTCAAAATACCAGAAAACATTGGAAACAAAAACCTCTTTAAAATATTTAAGACAGCCAGCCTTGTTTTAGGACAAATATAGAGAAATTGGTCAGAAATAATTAGTCAAATAAATATCTATTTAATAGATAACAAAAGCAGTAGTGCAAAATGGGATCATGGGCTTATTAGAAAATAACCAACGTGTTCAACACATCATAAAATAATTGATTTCTACATGTAATATTTTAGCTAATATTATGAAATATTAAAAATATTTAGACAAAGAAATACAGATTAGTTCAATGTTAGATTTATTTAAGTATCAGTTTTAGTCATTTTAATGGTTGAAGGGAAATCAGAGAAATAATATAAAAAAATATATGGGTTGGTCTAAAACTTTTGCACAGTATTGTTAAAAGGTGTTTAATTCATAATGGAAAC